CGTCGCTGCGGCTGCCATGGAGACCGGGCCTGCTCTCAAGCCAGGGCGCCTCCCGTGGTGGACACCGGTGCTGCCCGCCCGCCCGGCCGCCTGTCCCTCCTGCTCCAGCTGAGTTTGTTTTTTTTTAATTTATTATTCTTATTTCTATTTTTATGTATTATTATTAGTTTATATTTATCATTATTATTATTATTTCTATTTCCATTTATTATTTATTATTATTTTATATTTATTGTTGTTTATTTATTATTGTCGTCGTTATTATTTATTTTAGGGGGTTTTAAATTTATGATTATTAATAAGTTTCATGCTTCAGGTCAAATCAGCCAAATCAGTTCCAGGTCATGACGACTGAGCGAAACCCAGCGGTTCCAGAAACCGCCCGGGTCGAGCAGGCATCAGTGGATCTAAACACCTTGTGCGGCTACAGCCGGGGAGCATCCTCTGCCCCAGGCTCGCACCCTGGCAGTGCTGCATCATGACACGCTGAGGCTCTAAGCTATGTCCAATTTAAGACGCCCCGTACGATTAAAATAATCCAATGTATGTATATTTTTGTCATATTAGAAAAAAAAATTGTCCATATTTAAAGAGTCATTTTCCCATATTTCCTTTATCTCCTTTATTTACCAACTGAGTATTATAAAACTTATTACGGAGTCAGGTTTTTTTCTTATTTGATGGCCCCTCATATTGTGAGGCCCTAAACTGTAAGTATCTTAAACCTAAATCCCGTGCTGCACCCTACTCCCAAATCCATTGGCAGGCATCCTGTATGCAGGCCCAAGCCCAGAGGATTCGGGTGCCCCCACTTGATCTTAGCCCAGAGGCCAAGACACTTGATCAGAGCCAAAGTTTAAACCCAGCCGCTGGGCCGGGCCCAGCATCTCCAGACAGGCAGCGCCAAGGGAGTCAGGGGCGACGCGTAGGGGGTGTACAGGGGTGCACGTGCACCTCCTGAGAGCGCTGGTGCACCCCCTGTCCGGCCACACTCCTTGTGTAGCTGACGGGCAGCGGGGCAGACGGGAGCATCAGTACATCCCCTGTGAGCGCCAGCTGGTGAGTGGGGCCGTCAGCAAAAGTAGCGCGGCCACTTTTACTGTGAATGAGATCAGTCCCTCCAACCAGCGGGACTGGCCGCTGAGAACACGTGTCGTCCCCCCCGCCCCCCCAGTCCCTCCAGTCAGCGGGATCGGCCGCCAGGGAACCCCCTCTTCCCCGGGGTCCCTGACTGGTGTCAGGGGCACCAGACACCCATGGAGGGAGTCTATTGACTTCATGGCTCATTATAATGGACGTGATCCCTGCTAAACTCTTCACCCCCAGGCTGTTAAGGACCCTCCTTTCTTTATACCGGTCTCAATGTTCCCCCAGTACAGCCAGGTTTTGTTCTGCCATCCTGCACCTGGTCCTGAAGCTCATATGTCGCAGGTTGCTTTTAAGTTGTTCCAGTTATATCCTATTTATTTTTGCCTCCATCTCAAACAGAACAATCCAGCCCCAGCCCCTAGCAGATGAGTAACGCTTCTAGTTTCTTTATAAACTGGAGAAAAATGCATGCTGTGTTACATGGGATGAGGCACCTCACCTCTGCACCCCCCTTTTCCAAAGTCTAGATCTGCCCATGGATGTATTAGATTATAAAATGATTCTACAATCAGCTGAATGCCTATTTATCACACAAACGCATGGGATATTGACTGTTTTATTCAGCTTAAAAACTATTCCAGCTGTGTTACTGTATAACATGTTTTGTAACTAAAGACTGGAATAAAGATTGCAAGCACTAGACTGCAGCTGTCATGATTTCAGTGGAGCTGGAAAGGGTAGAAATCTGCAGATTGGGCCACATTATAGGTAGGACTCTGCTGGGAAGAAATATAAACTATTTTTGGATTTACTTTCCTTAGGATAGCAGGCATTTGAACAATTGAAATTACAAGTCATCCTCGATTGTCTGCATTCTCAAATCTGAACATATACCCAATGAGATACATACTCCTGAGGAGTTCCTACTAGAAATCTGGCTAGGGGCTAATCAAATCTGTAATTTGTTAAAGAGCTTCAGCATGCATTTAACTTCAAGCAGGTACTTAAAATTCCATTGAGCTCCACTTAAGGATGTGTCTAAGTGCAAAGAGATGCTTTTCTGAATCAGGGCCTAAATTCTGATACCTGCAGCAGGCAATATGTATTTTTCTTATCCAGGGCTCAGATCACCACAGTACTGACAATGCTTTACATCTAGTAAGGCAAAACATCAGAAAATTACCTCGTCAACTGGGTTGCAGCAACTCTGACTCTTTCTCCCTGCTCTAAAGAGGATTCATACCCAGGGATCTTGATTTTCTCTGTTTAAAAATGGCAAATTCTCTAATAAAAATCCCAAATTC